GTGTCCCACTCTGACAGGCTGGGGGAAGTGAGTCTCTTTAGTCTGAAGGGACTGTCCCACACTGACAGGCTGGAGGAACTGAGTCTCTTTAGCCTTAAGGGGGTGTCCCACACTGACAGGCTGAAGGACATAATCCTTTTAAGTCTTGAACAGAGAAGACTATGAGGGGCCTGGTTCAGGTTGTCAAGATTATAGAAAGGTCACAGTCAACACATCAGATTGTCTGGATTCTCTGGAGCAGTGCATTTGAAACGGAGCACATGAGAGTGGGAACAGGCACGTGGAGCCCATCCGAGAGCTTTCTGGCTTCTCGTGAAGTTCATCGCCAGCTGATCCAGCCCGCTTTTCAGCGGCATCTGGGCAGCTCGTTCCACACTCCTACCACCCTTTGTGTAAAGATGTGCCACGCAGATGCGCATTTAAAGCGCAGAATAGGGAAGTACTGAAAGGGTGGTGGGAGTCTGGGACATGCTGCCCAGCCGTTTTGCTGAAAGCTTCTTTCGAGACGCAGCTGGCTGAGGTCCTGGGATGAATTAACTGCCCTATGGGCTAGATGACCCGAATGGCTCCTCTTAGCTGTAATCCTTCTTATGTCACAAGAAGTTTAGGATCTGGGGAGATCAGGGTCACTATTGGGACGGATTAAGCAGTTTTCCATTGGTCCTGCAGTGATTTGCAGGAGGTGCACCAGGCGAGTCGATTTCAGCTCGACTGGCCCCCCTACAACGCGCCTCTCCCCTTTAAGCTCCCCTCTTAACGAAGACCCTCCCCCTCTCTCTCCCCCGCAGGACGTGATTGGCTGCGTGTGCGTCAACCCCGGCAGGCTGACCAAGGGCCAGGTGGGCGGGACCTACGGGCGGCTGCTCGTTCAGCGCGGCCCCCCATTGGCCGGGGGAGAGAGGCGGAGCCCGTGCCTCTCCGGCCAGGTGGTGAAGATCTGACCCCGCCTCCGACACGCCCCCTCTTTCTGCCACGCCCCCTCTATCCCCTTGCCAGACTTAACCCTTCACCTTACCATCGGGGCGAGAGTCCAAGATACATGACATGTATCTTATCCGACCGGTTCCAGTAAAACTTTATTCACATCCGTCCGATGACCTAAATATTCTCCGACAGCCGAGTAGAGCTCTGGATTCACCTCAAAAGAAAGTCTTCAAGCGCTGATCCAGCCGTGGGGCATAGAAAAACTGATAATCCCACCAGCAGGTGGTCCTGTTGATTCAGGAGCACTTAACTTTAAAGTACCGATGAGGCCAAGAAACAGGTTTGAGTGCGGTAGGATACCGTACAAATTGATTCACGGGGGCTACTGAGCAACGAACCCGATAAGAGAGCAATGAACTCGTTTGGGCAGCAGGGGGTTGTTTCTGTGCCGGTCGGGAAGGGATATTTCTGGAGCTGCTCCAAGGCGCGAGATCTGGGCGAGATGAAAAACTCGGGAGTCGGGCTAATTTTTTGGGGCTCACGGTTTTTGTTTTGGGGCTTTTCTATCAGAAGCAAAGGTGGCAACTGGTAAATCAGTTTTTTTTTTTTATCATCGTTACCGGTTGGAAAGATGGCGCAGGGAGGGAGTTTCGAGAGATGATGGCCTGCCAGGTTGTGCACCCAGGCGGATGGGGGGTGGACATCCTGCAGAGGAGGACCTGGAGTGTGAGGGGACCCTGCTAGGGTGCAAAAAACACCCCTGCAGACTCTTCAACGCCTGTAGCCAATTTTTCGTCTGCAAAGTCTGGAAAATGCAAAACCGGTCGATTTAATTACACCTCCGAAAGGATCCGGCTCTCTCAAGTCTGTCTGAGCTGAGGTGGCGGGGGCGAGGCGTCAATGGTATCCCAGCAGTCTCAGCCGGGTCATAAGCGACCTGCGTGGTTCCCGACACGACCTTTCCAGAATTTTTGTTTCCTTCCCATAGAAATCCTCCAGCCGATTCTGACCTGTCGGGGGAAAAAAAAACCCTCCGGGCCCTCCTGTTTCTTCGCTCGGCGTTTTTGATTCGAATAAATTTTTTCACGTCCGAATTGAAGGCTCCTTTATTTTATTCTTCTTGGGCTTTATGTCTAAAATATGATATGGCAGCAGCCATATCACCCTG